AGCTCGCATGGGTCAAAATCTGAAACCAAGCTTCTATAGTGTCGAACATCGCAAAAAAAGGCAGGGTCTCGCCTGCCGTACTCCAGCGCAAAAAGTGTGGTCAGGCACCTTCCCCCTTTTCGAGACACCCCCCCGTCAACCTACCCAACGCTCTACGCCAACCAAGAACAACACTGGGTGGGGCGCCGTGGACCTTATCAGAATACCTAGCTTTTGAAAAAAAAGCCGAGGCCGTAGCCACTCTACGAGCCCACTTTTTACCGAGTTTGTTACCCTTCGCCAGCTTGCCGAACCTGGTTAGCCGCCCCGCAGCCCCCTCTCTCCTACTGGCTTGCTTGGGCCTAGACGACTTGACCTGGCCTCTGTCAATGCCTAAGTCAGCAACTACCTACCTAGCCTGCACCCGAAAGCCTTGCTCACAGGAGGAATCCTGGAGTCTCACGGCCAAGCCCCAGGAGGGCGAGATGATGGCCGATTTCGGAGCAATCTGCAACTTGATCTCCCGCCGGCCCTGGACCAATTCCAGGCCCATCTTCGACAACTCGCTAAAGACTCTATCGGTGTCGCCGCACACGCACTGTACTATGTCATCAACCCACGTGTGTAGTGACGGCAGTGGGCGGCCCGTGGCAATTTTCCTGCAGACAAAATGTAAGGCCGCTCTACCTAAGTCTACTGCACCACTGCTGCCTGGTATGAGTGACATGCCTGGCTGCACTGCCTGCGAAAAACCTCCTGCCTCGTGAGGAAACCTGGCTGCCATGTGGACCTGGAGTTCCAGGGCCAGATAGCAGGGTGGGAAATCCAAATCCAGCGCTTTGTCCAGGACCAGGTCCCAGCGAAGACTGTCATAAAAACCTTTGACGTCCCAGAGCAAGCTGGCGCTCTGGTGATCTGGAAGAACTGAGTGAGCAGCTTGCTCATCTTTAAGCAGCCTGAGCAGTGCTACCTGCAGCGCTGAGCATCCTGCCAGCGCTGTGTCCCATGGTCCCGCTCGCTCCTTGGTCCAACCCGCACGGTCCGAGGTCCGAAGTCGACCCCAAAATCGGACCACCCAGGCCAACAGGCCTATCGCACGATCAGCATCAACGTCTTTGACCTGGAGCGTAACCAGGACCACAAGGGCCTGCCAAGGCCAACACCCTCTCTGCTCGACTAGGGCGTAGAAATCCGCCAGTTGTTGTAGTCCTAGCTGCGGCAGCCATTGGAAATCCTTCCCGGACAGCCTATCCACACCTGGTGCTGTTTTCGGGCAGGGCCGAGATGACCCTCCTGAGCCAGTCGGCCCCGAGCGGGGTCATCGGGTTCGACTTGGCCCTAGACTGGGCCTTGCTCCAGAGAGAACGGACCCTCGGAAAAGAAACGCTGTCACCCGCCCACTTAGCAGCCCAGAGATTCGCCTTAACAGCCATTCTCTGGCAGGAATCTCCAGCCGCCCCCCCCCCCCCCCAGTCCGATACTCCCCCACGTGCACCGGCTTGTCCCGAATGCGGCTGTGTAAGCCTCGGCCTCCAGCCTGATCCTGTTGCATCACCCACTGGTGGAAGCATGAGAGCGTGTTATTCGAAACTACTCGCTGGGCTCTCACTGAATTTTGCCAGGCTCTTGCTTCAAAATCTCTGATCGTCTGGTCTGAAGCTTCACTGAGAACTCGGAGACCCCGGACCCAATCAGAGCGAATCTTGGTGGTGAGTGGCATGAATGGCGAGACTGGCGTTGTCGCTGCCATGTCTCTGATCCGTTCAAAAAGTCTGGTCGGCCTGTGCTTAGTACGATCCCCCAGAAAACCCACAAGGTCAGACAAGAGAAAACTCAAAGTGGCCCACCAATGGGCCACAGGGCCCCTGGACGAAACGAAATGCGCCCCCTGGGCCTCAGGTCTCTTCTGGAGCTCACGTAGCTGGGCCCGACCTTTGAAACGCTGCTGGTTCTTAGGGTGGGCCTCTAGCATAGTACAAAAGAAACCCTCGAAGCGGGATAACCACTCAGCAAAAGCAGCGCCTACCTGCAGCGCTGCCTCCCTGTCCAGGCTGAACGCGAACGAGTTGGCGATGTAGCTCGGCACGCACTCCTTGGCCACTGGGTCCCTCAACGACTCCCATAGTATGTTCTGTTGCCCCATCGGGGCTGTGAGAAGTAGATGTCCCTCACCTCCCATCTGTCGGTGCCCACTGGCACCCTTGGTCTGGCTGGGGGGCGCTGAGCAGTGCGCGCCGCCTGCAGACGCAGACGGTCGGTGCCCTCTGGAGCCCCCAGCGCCACTCCTGGGTGTTGAGCCGACAGGGGGCGGTCCATCGCACTCCACCTGGGCCTCGTCAATAACTTCTTCCACTTCCTGTTCATCAGAATCCACAACATCCTCCTCGAACTCCTCGATGCCCCAATCTACATTTTTGAAGTAACTGAACGGTGGCGGCGACTTGAAACTGATAACCTTCCTTGCCCTCAAGACGTCCTGCGCAACAGGTTCTCCCACGACTTCCTCAGGCTCCCAGGCTGGGCCGCTTGCTGTTTGGATCTCTTGGTTTCTTGGGCATCGGAGGATAGACAAATCTTTCCGAAAGTGGCGGAATCCAGATGTTTGTTCCAATTTCAGCTTCAACTTGAGCTGCAGACCGAGATGTGTTCTGCCCCCCTCGTGGCAGGCTGCGTCGTCGACCACAAATGACTCAATAAATCTGGTCAACGACGGGGGATGGACCATGCAATCAATCAACCCTTTCCTGCCCAAAGTGCAAATGTAATCTGCACCAACTGCAGTGCGGACGATGCCGCCCACCAGCTTTGTCCAGCCAGCCCTTACCAGCTCGTGCGGTTCAGCGCTGTAGTCCCCTATGGCCAACCAAGGCGTGCGTATGCATTGAATCAACTGCCCCATCTGAATTAACTTATCAATATCCGGACCCGTCAAACCTATGCCAGCAGTGAGATAAACTCCTATGATAGTGACCGCCTGACCCCCGACCTTCAGCTGGAAAGCAACTAGGCCCTTGAAGTCCATGCCCTTCTGCTTGGCGATCTCTGGCTCGTTCGACATACGCAGGCCCAACTGCTGGGCGGGCTTGTTCGCTAGATGCCTGAATGACTGAAACTTGTATCTCTTCAAGGCTCCTGCCGTGATGCCCGCTGCTCTCTTGACACCGCTGGTCGCATATGATGGCGCAACTGGCGCCTGGCATCCACTCCTGCCCCACTCGTGCAGAACCTCATGGCATTCTTCTGGCAGGAGATGAAGTTCTGGAAATGTGAGGATGTCGTGAGCCCTCTCCTTCAGCAGCCCCTTCGCAGGGTAGCCCCATCCTGAGAGGTTCCTCACGTAGAGACTCTTCACGTCTTGGGCAGCAGCATCAGGAGCTCGACCCCCCCCCCCCCAGACCCTTCCTACTGGCACGAAAACCTCCCACCAGGCCCTTGACCTCTTGCTCGAGGCGGGCCTGCTGTGGGTCCAGAGGGCCACTACCCGCCACAGCCGCTGGCTGGGGGGCCGTGCCCTGCCTGTCCTGTGGGTCTGGAGCTCGGGCCGCCCCTGTTGCTGCCGCCTCGCCTCCTGAACCAGTGGCCTCACCTGCAGGTGCGGTCTCGGGCACCTTCCTCTTCTTCTCCGCCCTCTCCAAGACCTCCGCAAACTGCTTTTTGTGTTCGTCCAACTTCGCCTGCAGGGCCCCGTACGACTGCTGCACTGCCTCCGAGAGTGCCTTCTGCAACTGCAACTTGGCCCCGCCAAGCATCTTGCGGTCCTCCTCTTGCACCTCAAGGCCCTCCAACTGCGATTCGAAATTGGTCTCCAGCTCGAACTTTCCATCAATGATCTGCTGCACATCGACCGAGGCTGCTTTCCTGGTGGGCAACGCATGTGGAAGGTACTGTTGGGCGGCTGCAATCTCATCCTTCTCTGCGCGCAGCACCTCCTGCGTTGCCTCATCCAGGTCATGCTCTGCCCTCTCAAGCTCCTTCTTATTGCGGACCCACGCACCCTTGGCCTTACCGAGCGACTTTTTAGCACGACTGACTCGAGCCGAAGCCTGCTGCAGACCCTGTCCTGGCTGGAGCGGAGGCTTGGGGGGTGGCTCCTCCAAGACCTTGAGGAGCCCCTGAGCCGCCACCTGGGCCTTGGAGGGAAGCAGTCGGGCCAGTTTCCTGAACTGATCTTCGGGAGACTCTCTGGCTGCAGTTGGCGGTCCCGAACTCCTTTTGTTGGGCAGAGGAGAAACAACATCATGATCATCAAAGTCGCTGCCACACTCGCAAGTCCAATTCTTCGATTTGAGGCGGTCCTGGAAGAGCTTTTTGTCACAACTGCTACATTCAACCATGGGCCTTCCTCGACGATTACCCCACCATCCCGACATGCTTGGTAAGGGTGGGAAGTCGACCAACCGATCCGTGCCTTGACCTTTTCCCTTGCCGTAGATTCTGCCCGATCCGTCTCCACCCTGCACCCACGGCGCATAAGCGAACTTATTGTGCCAAGGCGCATGGCGCTGCACTCCCATCACAGAGCGAGGTAAGAGTGAGATCGGACTTAGATAAGCGAAAGAAGCCCCGACAGGTCGTCGGGGGAAAGCTGTTGGGGGCCGTGTGCGTCCCAGGGACGCCCCCCCTTGCCACAACTCTGTCCGCTGCTGACACCTGAGCCACCGCTACGGACTTGAGCCAAAATAGCTACGGACAAAAAAAAACCCAAAGGCGGCTCAAGTAGGCCCCACGAGAGTGCCAAGTTTCGAAATCGAATGTTGTGTTGCATCTTCGGTGGACACTGTCTGTCCCGTCGCGTCCCTATCAACGTCGAATCCGTGTCGAATCCGTGTCGAAGCTGCTCGAATCCGTGTCGAATCCGCCTCGAACCCACGTCGGAATATAAGCGAGTTCTGACATCTGCAAGACGGGACAGGCCCCCCGAAGGTGCAAAGGAACGAATGTAAGCGGGATCGGAAACCATTGAACATGAACCGAATCGACTCGGAGGAGTCGGAAATGAGCCCTGGCCCCCCGAGCCCGTCCTTCTTGCCCTTCTTGCCCTCGGGCGGGTCGGCGGTGTCCTGCCCCCCCCCGCCCGCGCGTCGGAGGGGGAAGGGGGAGGCGAAGAGCAAAGGGGAGGAGAAAGGGGAGGAGGACGGGGAGGGGGAGGAAGGGGATGAGGTGGAGGAGACATGGGAGGGGGAAGGGGAGGAGGGAGAGGAGGAAGGGAAGGAGCAAGGGGAGGGGAAGGAAGAAGGGGGATCGGATCGGATTGGCCGTCATCGGAAGTGCCCGTCACGGGAGCAGCTGCCAGGGGGGTGCGGCACTGATGAGCACCTCAGCCCAAGGCGCCCGGTATGCGGGCTCATCGTCTCCTCCGGACCTGACCCAGGGAGACAGAAACGAGGAAGGGGGAGGGGGGAAGGAGGAGGAGGAGGAGGAGGAGGAGAGGGAGGAGGCGACCACCAGCGGACCACAGGACACGCAGCGCAGACGGAGCAACGGGTTGTTGCTTGGGACAGGGTGAACCCGCGGACAGGGCGCCTCGAAGAAGCGCGGCTCGACGTCGCCACCCGCGACGCAGTGACCGGCCAGACGGTGTTCTTGGACACGAGCGTGACCTGCGCACACAGCGGCACCGCGCCGCGCCAGCAGGCCCGCTCCAACAAGGACGGCCTTGCCGCCACTAACGCCGAGGACGCCAAGCGGGAGCGCTACCCGCCCGAAGGAGGCCAGCTCATCCCTGTGGTCTTCGAAACAGGGGGCCGCCCGGGTGACGCCACCGTGGCGTACGTCCGCTCCTGGGGCCACGGCATGGCCCCCGCGGAGCGGACAGAGGTCATCCGCTATGGCTGGCAACAACTGAGCACGCGGCTGCACCTCGGAAGCGCCGAGGCCATCTTGGCGGCTGTGGGGCGGTGAGCGCGCTGCCGCCAGCTCCTCTACCGCCGGCGCGGCAACCACCACGTCCGCCACCAGCGGTGCGACCACATCCACCCCCAGCATGACAACCCCTGCCGCCACCGTTTGCACCACGACGACGACGACCCTAGGCACGACAACCGCCACGACCAGCGCCTCGGCCACGACCAGGACCGTCACGACAACCGGCGCGACCACGGCCGACGGGCACCGTGACCGCGACCTCCAACAGCACGGCAGCGCCGTGACCACGGCGACCACCGCCGAACCGACCGCCTACGCCCCCGACCGGCCCTCCTCTCTCCTGTCCCCGCCCATGCCGGGCCGCCCCTGCTGCCTCGCGGGCCTTGCGCCTCCTCCCCCCTCCTCCTCCTCCTCCTCCCCCCGCCTGACAGGTGAATGGTAAATTCGGATTTCGCAACGCCCCAAAGTGGCTTCGGTTTAGTGCATGACCCCCAGGACCGATGCTCAGGGCCGCCCCCTGAGGGCTGGTGGGGGCGCCACACCCGCGACCAGCGGAGGAGGAGGAGGAGGAGAGGGAGGAGGAGGAGAAGGAAGAGGAAGAGGAAGAGGAAGAGGAAGAGGAAGAGGACGAGGGAGGGAGAGGAGGAGGAGGAGAGGAGGAGGAGGAGGAGGGGGAGGGAGGATCAGGATGAGGGGGGAGGAGGAGAAGGAGGAGGAGGAGGAGAAGGAGGAAGAGGGGCGAGCGAGCGGGCAGCAGTGCAGTCGAAATGACGACAGCACAGCGCAGTGGACGGGGGCGGCCGAGGGGCAGACAGATATGCAGGAACCAATAGGAATGAGGTATCAATAGGAGGCTCGATAGGTACCAATAGGAGTGAGGTATCAATAGGAGGCTCAATAGGTATCGATTGGCATCAATAGGAGGCTCAACAGGTCTCACCCTCCAGGAATGAGGTATCAATCGGAGGCTCCCACAGGTACAGCTCGCGAGCACCATTCTGCACGACAAGGTTGCAGTGGGGAGAAGGAAGATGGGCAGGAGGACGAGCTGGGTGCTCTCGCGCCAAGCCCTGCATGCCATCCCTTCCTCCCATCCCTTCTCACTTCGCTGATTCTTCCTCTATCCGTGGACGCGTGTCCTCGCCGACCTTGGACTCCACAAAAAAAACCACCAGGAGCTGCCGGGGGAGGTGGCGTGTGAGCCGGAGGACGACCTGGAGGAAAAGGAGGATGAGGATGAAGACGAGGACGAACAGCAGCAGTAGGGAATGGAATGGAACGAG